TGTTCAGCAGCCGATATAAGGAAAGGAGATGTTTGGTCTGGAACTGATTCTGGTCATTGTTCTTCAGTTTGAAGGTAAAGATCTGTTTTCTTTCAAATTAAGATGAATTAAAGACTTTGGTTTACTGAAACATTTGAGGAGTTATGAGAATTACAATCTAGGATATAAAAAAGTTAATCTATGTTTCATGTAGGCTTTAAGTCAATCAGGTTTTGACCGAATTGATCAAATAATCCTCAGAAAAAGAGAGAAAAATTTAATTAAGAAAAATGGTTCTAAACAAAAAAATATGTAAAACAACAATTCAAACAGGATGTGAGAAAAAAACTAAATATTTCTAATTTCAGCTACTTGATTGTATTTGATAAGGAAGAATTCTGTAAAACTTGAATGTCTCTGCTGCAGGAACCAGAGGAGGAGTTCTTCATCACTATCATAGATCTGGAGATGATGTCATTCTACCTTGCAGCAGTTCTTCAGATTCTTCCTCATGCTCCATTGTTCACTGGTTTTACAACGAAAATTATATAATTAAGGATGGAAAAGTTGTTCAGAGTTCACCTCGAGCTGCCAGGATAAATGTGGACAGTAACTGCTCTCTGATCATCAACAACATCACTGCTGAGGATGCTGGAGTGTACCGCTGTCAGCTTGGTTCAGAATCATCCATCTTTGATGGCGTTGTGTCTCTAAACGTTCTGACCAGTGAGTATGTAGACCTGAATGATCTGATGCTGTCAGACTCTTTCCTTCTCATTAACATTGTGAAATACTTGTGTTGGACAGATGTTTCTGGCATCAACAGTTCTGATGAATATCTGATGCAGTCAGAAGTTCAAATGTTGTTCTGTCAGAGTGTGAACCAATCATTTATTCAGCTCTGGGTGATGCTTCAACCACACATCAGTCCACACACTTAGTTTGACTTTACAGTCAAAGATCTGATATTGAAAAGGTCCATTCATGTCATGGATGGTTCTTTTTATACCTAAAAATGATCAAATCAAACTCAATGTGGTTTTTAAATCTTATTTCTGCCTCCAACTGTGTTTTTGTTGAGTTTTCTTTGTTGGGTTTCGGCTGCTTCCTGTTTGATCTAAAGGCGGGGCCAAGCTTTGAGGAACTAAACATCAGGAAGTGACCTCATCAGAATGAACGCTGTGCTCAGCTGCTGTGGGGCTGTTTAGATTCAATTAGTTTCTCTTGTATTGTGTGGTTAAATGCTTTGATCAAACCACTGCATCATTTACTTTCATTTGGGAAGTTTTCTTGTTTTGTTCCATCATGCTGATAAATACCTGCTCAGATCTGCAACATTAGAGCATCAATCACCAAGAAACAACATATAAAATGTAATCACAGCGAGTTTCTTATTCTCCTTTTCACAGTGTTTAATCCATTTAGTTATTATATTTTTTCTGTACATAACATCTGGTTAGAATATTCAATGCAAGAAATTGAAATCTAAATAACAAATTTTTTCTTAAAATGCATTCTTCTTGAATTGGGGAGGTGAGACAATTTGCCAATGGAACAAGAAAATATATACTTGAAATAAGAAAAAAACAATTGCATTGTTTTATTTTAAGGACATACTATCTCATTTTAAGAGTACAGACACTATCTCTATTGGCAAATCATCTTATTTATCTGCTCGAACTAGGTATGAGGAATATACTATTTATTTCAATAAGCATTTGGTTATATTTTGAATTTAGGTTTTATCACTTAAATAACCTCTTTTCAGATCTGGTGTTCAGTTAGTGTCAGGCGCATAGTTTCACTTTTTTAGAGTGTGCATGCTCAGCGCTTGAGGAGAATTAATGGATCAGGACGAGAAGCAACAGTTCTCTAAAATTTCATGGATGTGAAAACCCCCCCCCCTTCCTCTTTTTGTAAACCCTTAGTTTCCTATTAAACTGAAGTTATTATGTATCTGTTTTGGCTCAGTTATTGAGAAAGGCTAACAAGTCAGAAACGTTGTGCCCTGCAAGAGTGGTGAAGCACATTTTTATTGTAAGGAAAGAAATTTAGGCACTATACAGCCTGAGATAAATTTTTTTCTCCTTCTTTCAGACTCTGAGAACAGTTTTTTCATTTTTCTTTCAGTCTCTCCATCTTCACCAGCTGCTTATCCAACCGATGGAGATGTCACATTATTGTGTTCCCTGGAGAAATTCAACTGGATTTCTTTTTGTCCAAAGAACAGCCTCCTCTGGTTGGATGAGTTAGGAACTGTTCTGACTGGTGAAGGTTTTGGGTACCAGTTTAGACAGACTGGCTGTGATTCTTATCTCACTGTGAAGCTTCAGAGCACCAGCAGCAGAAGATACACCTGCCAGTTTGTTGAGGGAAATACAGTGAAGATAGAAGCTCACTACCAGCTGGAAGGTATGATGTCATTACTCATCTCTCTTTAATGACATATTGACATAATGTCTAGGTTTGCTCTGTTTCTCGCCACTCATTTGATCCACCTGCTCCTACTTCTATTTAAACTCCTCAGTCCCAGCCATCAGGCCAGATTATTCTTGAGCCTTTGGTTTTGAGAGTTCTTTAGCGTTTCTATAGTGTTCTGATTGCCTGATCCTGATCCGTTTCTGTATTTGGACCTTTGAATCTGCCTGCCCCTGTCTGATTAGTTTGCCTGGCCTCTCTTTGGACTCTTATTGGATTCTTCCATTGGAAGAGCCTGGTTCTGCCTCTTGACTTCACGCTGTGGATTATCCTGCCTTTCTTCGTCAGCCTGGATCTAATCCCCTATCAGCTCTGCGGCCTTCTAGGCATCTGCATCTGGAACTCTCTGGCAAAATCCACTGCATCTTTTCAGCCGATCTTCTGGAATTATCCTCGTTCTCTGGGCAGAGACTGAACTGTCAAACCAGGTTAGTGACTCACGTGATCAAAATGATCCTACGTCAGATTATCGTGGTTACTAACCTGTCTTACTCTCTCTGCTGCAGCTGCCTTTACTGCAGCGTCATTGTCTGAAATAAACGTTTTCTAAGTATTCCACTCTCTGTCTTGCCTTAATTCTGGGTCCTACTTTCTGACCCATTACAGGCAATGGCTGCTATGCACATTAATACCCCTTGTATGTCAGTTGATTATATACTCATCTTAGACATTTAATAGACAGAAGGCATTACATGGAATAAATTCCTTGTGTCACTGAGCCTCAGTTCACACTGTTGTGCCATGTGACATAATCATGCTTTTGGACATTGGGAACAGTGTCCATGTTTTATCTCGACATGATGCCCGGAGAAGAGGATGCAGTTTTGGCTCATGGAGCAGCTGTGAAACCTTACCCTCTTTTTCTGCCTACTTGGTTGACAAGGCAGCCCCCTCCCGGAGGTGCTACCAACCTCTGTGTTGAGAACAGTAAAGACACCAGCACACAGGATTTTATTATCTCTGTCCCATGAAGCTGCCTGGGGTCCACATCAGAAGAGGCAGCCACCATGGAGATCCATGCAAAAGGCACAGATCTCCAGAATGACCAAGGATAAGCCATGAGGGTTTAGTTTTCAGAACCAAACTGCTGCAAAACAGACTTTTTGCAACACATTTCTCTTGAGTTTCAGAACTTACAGAGCCAGACTAGAGGAAAAAGTCTCCTGAAGATCCCTTGGTGTGAGCCACATGGGACAAGAAAATCCCCGTTTGCTGTGAGCCTGCCGTGCTAAGCTGCTGCTAAATGGAACTCAACTTTGCAATGAACTGACAGATTTTTGCAGGTCTTGCACAATTAGGGACAGAACAAACAACATGTCTTTTGATGATTTTAAACATTTCATGTGTTTACTGATGAGTAAAGACAAAGCTAACAGGATGGACTGCATGCTATGCCATGCTACCGTAATATGTTTTGAGCTGCTGTTGAAGCTTGGACAAGCTTTACATCACTAATGCTTTAAACACTGATACAACATTAGTGTCCATGTGTTTTCTCATATGCTCATTATATTTCGATTAACAAGTAGGAGTAATTTAGTGGAATCCTGATGTCTATTTGCTGCTAGCTATTTCAAAGAGGGTAAAGAATCATTTAACTAAAGGTTACTGGTTCCTGATTAAGCAAATCATTTAATAAAACAGAACTTGGCCAAATAATGTTGTATTCACCTCATGTATTTAATTGTGAAGTGGTCTTAAAACATTCCAATTTCTCTAAATTAGTGAAAAGCTAATTTGATCACATCCCAAATTCTTTCAGATAAACTTTTGTTATAAACATAAAATCTATCTTAAACTGTAATATGGTTTTCAACCAAGTTTCCCCATCCTCTTTCTACATAGTAGTCTAGTTTAGTGGAGTTAACTAGTTTTAGTAGGTTTTTAACTGAAATATGTTTGACTTTGAGCTAAATTATTTTTTTTTAATAAACTCTTATATTTTGTACAGAAGTTGTGGTGAATTTGTTCCATGTATGTGTAGAATTATCTGTCTGATCATGATTTGATCTAATTACTCTTTCATAATAAACATCTTAATATAATAAACATATAAATAAACATCGCAATAAAGTATCAGAACATATGAATTCCCCCATATAACAGTTATTCACAACAACACAGTTGAGGTTGTTCCTCCATCTAACGATGTTAATTTTAATCATCAACACCAGAACAGTGCCTCCTATAGGCTCTGAGAGGTAGTGTGAGTCCTGCTGCAGCTTCTTATGTCCCAGGCAGCAGTGATCCTGGAGATTATGATGAGACGTTCAAATAACAGTGAAATTTCTTCTCCTCAGAACATTTCAGGTCCAACCAGTAGGACACTGACTGCTGAATGATCTTCAGTCGCTTCTTCCTTAGAGAAAAAAAATCTCAGTTTACTGTCCATTTAATGTGTGAAGATAAAAGGTCAGAAACTTTTGTGAACTTGTTGGAGAGAAGATGTGATTCATTCTAATAGAAAATCCGCCATCATAAATCTGAAATCAGATCTAAAATAATCCAAGCACAGCAGCTTCTCTGCTCCATCTCATCCACAGGTTTCCCAGACTGGTCTCCTCTGAGCTTCATCATGTTGACTCTGAGGATCACAGCACTGATCCTGATGGTTGGAATCACTGCTGATATCATCAGAACCAGAGGTGAGCAAACTGGACCAGAAATGAGCAAATCTACAGAATTTTAATGTTAATCATTTTATTTTTCTTTCCTTCACAGGAAGAAAAAAGCCTCAGAAAGACATTGATGTAAGTGAAACAATAAAACATTTAATAATATCTTAGTAAATCATTTAAATAACAAACCAGTTTCCTCAAGTTTTAAAACTTCAGCTAGTAACGGTAAAGTTATAGTGGAGGATGTTCTTTTTCCGGGTGGATCATTAAAATAACTGGTCTTCCTAAATGTCAATCATTCTGGCGATATGTTTACTTAAGGCCGCCCTATGTGCTCGTCCTCATTTTCACTTACAGGTGGTGAGTCTGACATAGTGGGAAAATTGCTAATCTTCTTTTGGAAAGTAAGCTTGTATGAGCGATGCAAACAGCAACTTTTAAACAGAGCGTGCACCAGGAGAAATGGGCTCATGAACGCTCTTGCTCCTGTTTAACAGGGGTTCCCTCTCCCGAACGGGTACAGAGTTGTGCATGTGTGTTTTTTGTCAAAGTTGAGAGGAGTGGAGAGTCTTTTCAAAAATTCGCCAAAATCCTTCACTATACCTTTAGTGAAACAGTTTCACTCAGTTTGGTCCATTTTCTGTAAAGTAATAAATAGACCAGCTATTCAAGAGGATTGTTTCTATAACTATTATAAAAGTGAAAGTTTTATCTCACAGGTTCATGATGCTGTTGGTGACGACACAGTGCACTATCAAAATGATGGAGAATATTCTGCTTCTGCCACTATCAGCTGACCTTCATCACATCAATTCACTTTACACTAAATGCTTTATTTGATTCCGCCTCAATAAACATGTGATTTTTCATCTTTTTATTTGCTTGTATTTCTGGATAAATTAACTTAATTTCTTCTATTGGTTCTGATTATTATCAATGAAATAAATAAAAAAAAAATCAGGGTTTGCTCTCAGACTTAAATCCCTCAGGAGGCAGACAGACCGATCCAACATCAGACAGAAACTCACTAATGTGTCATTGTCTCAGATAATATAAGGTCAACTCACCATGCAGGGAGCTGGAGAGACGTGACCAACAGTGAGAGGAAAGTAGTGATTATCTGTCC